TTTTTATATGTCAGGTGAAGTCGGCTATTTGGATGAACATGACAAAACCGGTTTCAATGTGAAAAGTAATGTGACGGGAATGAAAAAAGGAAAAAAGTTACTGTAGCAAAACCAGATGAAAGCAGGATAAATGTGAAAACTACTGTGACAGAAATGAATAGTGATCCAAGGATTGTCACTTTTAAGAGTAGGGTAGATTTAGCCAATTCTAAATTCTATTACAAAATCGTTGGGCAAAAAGGCGTAAAAAAGAAAAAAATGCCCGACTAGAAATTTTTTATCATGGACATTGAGAGAGAGAGAGAAATCAATTTAACCACCATATATTACATAGCACATGCTCAGAATTATGTAACATGGAGTGGGTGACAAATGATAATAAGGTTTATCACAAATTTACATTGGAATTGACACACTCCAAGATCAACACATCCCTAGTGGTGATGGTGCAGGCATTCGACAGGAGCGACCGGGAATCTTGAGTTATCGGTGCAATAGTCGTAAATCATGTGGTTGGCTCGAACCCACAGAAGCTGATGGCTCTGGTGGAGGTTCAACTCCGACATCGTCGGCTCGTCCCACCAATACCTCTTCTCACCACCAGCAGTGCTGCAACGCTTGACGTTATCGATGGCCGCCACCGCATCGGGGCACTCACAAGCATCGATCTCGAACCCCGTATAGCTTGCAATGAAAGGTGCATGTGACCAATCAGTCTTGACTCTCCCACCTTGTGTGGCCCAATCATCAGCATTCCATATTGAGCTATAAACTCCCATGAATTGGTCTTTAGGATATGGAATCCCCTTGTGCTCCAAATTCGAATGTACGCGTACGGGTGTCTCGTCAACTAAGAATCTGAATAAAAACACATTACACAAACTTTGGATAATCTTCAATACACGCGTAAAATCGACAGAATGAAAACCATGGTGTTGGAACTTACACAACTTGGCGCTGATTCCATAGAATTGAGTAGGAATGAAAATCCTTGGTGGGATCAAACCAGAGGTTCAATCTCTGTTCTCTATTGCCCACTCCATTGACATAAACATTGGTTTGTACTAGATAAGGTTCCCCTGTGGTGTTGCCCAGGAACTCAAAATCAAATTCATTGTGATATGGACCGTCCGATGACATCTGATCATATACGTTACAAATTTTGTTATCAGATCAGTCTTTTCCGTTAACAGATAAATGAATTTTCCACACAAAAAATGTTAACCCAAACAAGGAAAAAGCCAGCTGTGTCAAAATCAGTGAGAAATGAAGTTTACATAGAAAGCAGTGACAGTTCCAGCAGAGTCACCCTCTACAAGCTTGATCTTGATACCGACTTTCCCAAACATATATTTGCTTTTTGAGGAAAACCCAGCTCCTGCATTGCAAAAACAAGCAACTTATTCACTTAAAAGTAACTAATAAACAGAGCATCAGAGCAAACGGGCAGCAAAAATCAAGTTTTCAAACAGAGTATCAATACTTAAGTGAGTGGTTTGTACCAGAATAGTTGTCAAGTTTCATCCTGAGAAGCTCTCCTTCGGAGGCAAAATGGTCAAATGCCCAATTGGGCTGAAAAAGCTCATCAAATCTTGATGAACTCACAGAACCCAACACTGCAAAAGCAACGAAAACTCCCAAAACGACACACCCCATAAAATTTGGAAGAGGACAGGCCATGGAATGATTGAAATTCTGAGCCAATTAGAGTTTTAGGGGTGGGTTTTATAGCCAAAATTGCATTGGCTTCACTGGAAAGCTACATGCCACGTCACTTAGTTGATTCCATGTCAGACGCGATCCTCGAAGTGACAATTGAGACAATCCAAAAGTTTTTTTGTTAATAACCCACATAACTTTATGCTAAATTTCATTTTGATCATCGAACTTTAAGTTGTTTCATTTACATTGCAAAATTTTAAAAATTGGCTAAGTTAGACCAGTGGTCCACCATGTCCATTATTTAAAATTGAGTGATGAAAATGAAATATTTTTTTAAGTTCAACAAACTTTTCATTGTTTCATTTGCGTCACCGGGTGGATAGTTAATATTTTCTTCAGATTTGAATTGAATCTCATTGAAAATTATTATTATAATAAAATCATGGATTCTATGATCAAAAAAGGGATACAATCGAACGATTTGGATCCAATCATGTTTGGTTCTTTTATAATTTAAAGGGATAATTGTAGCAGTGGTACCAAATCTTTCATTTAGTAGCGAACTTTGCCCATACCTTTCATTTATGCCACACACGGTACCAAACCTTTCATTTTTTCCACCAACGGTACCAAACCTTTCAAAATGTCTGCAACTGAAGTCCAAATGAATGGTTTTTAGTTGTTTGACCGTTAATTGACCAAATAATTGATTTTGACAATAATATTGACTGATTTTAAAATGTTAAAATAGTGATTTTATATTTTTTTAAATAATAAAATAACCAAAATCAAATAATTAAAATTAAAAACTCATTCTACATTCTTCTTCTCTACCTCACCCCCACTCCAAATCTGCAAATCTGAGAAATCAACATCTTCTAATCCTCGAATCCATAGCGTCAGAAACTTGTTGCCCAACTATGTAGATCTACGTCTGCCGGATTAGAGATTTGGACCTTAACAATCTATTAGAATTGGAGTTCCTTGATAAAAATATGGATTTCCTACTGAAATGGTCTGCCGAAGAGACTATCTTAATCAAATAGGAGAAGAAGAGATGAGAGATTGAAAAGGGCGTACGGATTTTTCTGTATGACGTCTAAGCAAGTTGCTGGTAAGGTCCATTTCTTGCTGCTAATTTGAGGGGGCACTTGTGCGATCACTGCAGCCTGTGTGTGGGTGGATTGCGATTGTCGGTACGGTGGAGGTGGGTGGATTTTGGTTCATTTGGTTTGGGTTGGATGAGGAAAGGTGAGGATAAGTGTGGTGGGTGGGAAGAAGATGAATTGTTTTAGATGAAGTTTTGGGATAAATGCACAGGCAGAGTTCCTTAGAGCCACTACCGTTGCAGCAGAGTGCACATTCGGTTCGGGGACTCTATTCCCGAGCTTGTTGAAGCGTTCTCAAAGTTCCAAACTCAAATTTGCAGATTTTGGGTAGGGGTGGGTGAAAAAAGAAAAAAGTGGAATGAGTTTTTAATTTTAATTATTTGATTTTGGTTATTTTATTATTAAAAAAATGTAAAATTACAATTTTAACATTTTAAAATCAGTCAACATTATTGTCAAAGTCAATTATTTGGTCAACTAACAGAAACCATCCATATAGACTTCAACTGCGAACATTTTGAAAGATTTGGTACCGTTGGTGGCAAAAATGAAAAGTTTTGTACCGTGTGTGACACAAATGAAAGGTTTGGACAAATTCTGCTACTAAATGAAATGTTTGGTACTGCTACTACAATTATCCCTATTTAAAAATAAATTATAAAATTACTTATTTTAGTTTTATGTATTAAACAAAATGGTTGATTATTCTGAATAATTGATTACAAAAAATAATTTTGAACCAAAAACTACCAATGTTTGGCCCTTGTTTTTTAAAAATTCTTTTTTAATCACATATCTGATAGGATCCATAATTGTTATTAACTTTTTAACAACACATCATATCAACTTTTAACAAAATTTACTAAAAATCTTATTTTTAACATCAAACAATGGCAAAATTGATTCTTAGAATGAATTGAAAAATGGAGCAGAGACATTCAATTCTCAATTCTAACATCCTGCTAAACCAATTTTATATAAAAATTCAACAGAATAAACTAGTTAAGTCTAGTTCGAGTTCAGATCCAAGTCGAGTTGCTCTAGATAAAAATAACACCCTTATATATATATATCTGAAGATTAAATTTTTTTATATTACACCATTATCACGTAACATTAAAAACACGTAGGAAAATCTTCAAAAATTGTACGAGTGCTTAATGTAACGATATAATTTAAATAATCTCAGCATTAAGTGATGTTAAATCAAATAATTTAAAGTTTAGGTGTCAATGTGAAATTTAGTGAAAGTTGAGTGGTCTTATGCTCAAAAAGCAAATGTTGTTGCCTGTTGGATTGTCTTAGCTGGCTAAAGTTGGTCCTCAGGGGGACTGTAGGACAAATCGCTGTTGGCAATGTGTGAGCCAAGAAATTGTCCAATTGAAACGTGACGCGAGGATACCGACACTGTACCTGTACAGTTGTCTTTGGCAGTAGAATTTTTAAAGGAGGAGCCCCTCTCATCAATTGATTCAATTCGATCTGATTGTATAATTCACCCAGCTGGCTGGATATTTTAGAAGGGGTAAATCATGTACATTTTTTTCTTTTTGCCTTTATTTTACGTTTTTAAGCAAATTATGTGCATGGTAGAAGTGATTATTTTTAAAATCACTTTTTTCTTCTCTCATGATCATGCATTCTAAAAAGAATTCATTTTTACAATTTTCATAATTTTGTAATTGCAAATTCTAAAAAAATTATCATCATTTATTTTTTCCCACACAATCACATGTTATTACAAATCTAGGAGTCCTAGTGTTCAACGATACATTTGTATGAATGCGCGCGCACACATACACACATAGATATGAAGCTTTAGGCATGTCATAGGCTATAGATAAACATTGATAAAGTTCGAGGAGAACTATGATTATTGTATAGCTATAAGAGCATTGCCAAAACACTTGTAATTTTAAAACATTATATTTTACACTTTAATCATGCTTGGTGTACAGAAAAAATACACCCTACTTGATAGTATGACTTATGTTATTGAACTCTTACAAAAAAATAAAAAAAAAAAAATTTGCAACCAATCATTTTTTGCCAACACTGATTCTGTAAACAAGGTGGGCACTAAAAATCTGTATAAATATATAAAACCTTTACAATTTAGGTACTCCAATAAGTTCTTTATATTTAACATATAATTCTACTACTTCCAAAAAATATTACTATTTTATCTTTTATCTTCACTAGATTCTTTTCAAATTATTATATTTTTTCTCCATTGAGCCCTGTTTGGTCTTCATTATTTTCAAAATATATTTTTCTTTCTTATTTTCAATCACATGTGCTTTTAATAAAATAATATTAGACAAAATCAATTTTTTTTAATCACTAATTCTCCATCAAAATACTATTTCAAAATGCATTTTGGACAAAAAATGGACTTCAAATAGGAGCTGAATATTGAAATACTTTGAATGCATTTAATTATATAGAGTAGATTTGATTCTCTAACGTTGGATAGCTATATGAACTCACTGTTGAGAACATGACCAATAATAAAAATGATAATATGAGAAATATGAAAATGAATCACAAAAAAAAAAAAAAAAGATTTATGTGAAAATCCAAATTCGAGAAAACCATGGATAAAGCCGGAGAATTCACTATAATTAATAGTAAAGGAGTTCAAGGGATCTCCATGGACCAAACTAATAAGTTGGACAATTGATCAATTACAATTTGTGTTGTACATCATATATTTACAATTAAAGAATCCCTAACATAGTACGAGAATCAATACATGAAATATTTAATATAAGGTGAAGTCTCAATGCAATGGATAAAATCATTAATGGAGAATTTGGGATAAAATAGGAATCAAATTCACCTTGAACTCTTTCATGATATCTTCATGTCTACTACCAACTCACAATACTCTTCAAATAGTATTTCGAATCAAATACTTAACACGAATTCGGGTCACAACTCAATTCTAATACTCGTTAATTATTTTAAAATATTAATTTAAAAAATCTCTTGTAGCATAATTTTAAAGAGTGACTCTTTAAAATAGTGAGTATCTTATATTTAAAGTGTCTTTTGTAGATCCTCTAAGCATGGGTGGACAAAATCAAACCAACCCATCCAAATTGATCACACCGACCCAATTCAACTGGTTTAAGTATGTGGGTTCATTAATTGGCCCAAAAAATCGAAACAACCCGTTCTACTCGACCCACATACTTTAAAGAACAATGAAAAAAAGAGAGAAAATAAAAAATAAAAAACCTCTCCTTTCACTCAAGTCTTACCTCACACGCTCAAAAAGCCAGAAACTAAAGCCCTAATCTCTATTTCGCCGCTATTGAATGAAATGCGATCCACCCAAATTGTCGGTTTCTTGTCACCTTTTATGTGTCAGCCTGTCTAATTTCTACTTGAGTAATCTCTTGTTCTCTTCTTTCTCAATCGGATTCTCATTCAAGCAATTTTATGATTTTTATCCATTGTTCTTCCTTTTCTTTTTTCTTTTTCCCCCCTTCATGTAGTGTTATTATTTCTTCCATTGTTTAATAAGCTTTCATTATTTGTATATTCTTCGTGAATGTTCATTAATTTTTTAAGTAAGTGCTTTTTGTTCATTATTTTATTTTACCTCTATTGACGTTAAAAATTGTAAGAACAACTTTTGAGCCAACTTTAAAGTAAAGAAAATGTTTTTAATTGACAAGGTCCTCCAGATACAAGCGTTTAATCACATTACCAAGGGGACAAGTGAAAATGATAGTGTTTTTATTGTAATTGTGGAGTTAGTCAGGCCCTTACCCTTTGGAAGGTGTGTCAAAGTTCTTATTCTTGATTGTTTGTTGAGATCGGCTCTCATCAGATCATCATGATGTTGGCCCTGTTGTGTTACCAGAAAATGGTGAGCTGATTATGGATAAGAAGTTATCA